GAGTCCCCAGGGGCTGTCATGGGGGGGTCCGGGGGTCCCCCAGGGCCGTGCCCACCCCCTGGGTGCCCGCAGGCCAGCACTGGGGCTCCTTGAAGCGCTCCGCGGCGGCCGTGGGCTGCTCCTTGCTGGAGGCACAGAAGGGGGAGGCGGAGGAGGCCGAGACGGTGACGGCCATGGCCCTGCTCTCGGTGGGGGCCGAGCAGGGGAGCACCGACCCCCAGCCCAGGTACGGCCCCCCGGGATGCCCCCGGCTCCGCGGGCAGCCACGCGTGTCCTCAGTGGGGGGATTCGTGTTCTCCTGGGCTCTGCATGGAGCCATGCGTGTTTGGGGGGGGATGTGTGTCCCCTAGGCTGTGCATGGAGCCACGCTTGTATTTTGGGGGGATTGCTTGTTCTCCTGGGCTGTGAACGGAGCCACGTGTGTCCTTGCGGGGTGGGAATGCGTGTTCTGGGCTGTGCATGGAGCCACGTGTGTTCTTGGGGGCGGATTCATGTTCTCCAGGGCTGCGTGTGGAGCCACGCGTGTCTTTGGGGGATGCATGTTCTGGGCTGTGCATGGAGCCATGTGTGTCCTTGGGGGGGATGCGTGTCCCCTGGGCTGTGCACAGAGCCACACATGTCTCTGGGGGACCGTGTGTGGCCCCTGGGCTGTGCTTGGAGCTGTGTGTGTCCTCGGGGGGACACGCATGTGTCCCTGGGGCTGTGTGTGTCCTCAGAGGGGCCGTGTGTCCCCTGGGCTGTGCACGGAGCCTCGCGTGTCCTCCCGGGGGTGATGGGCACGCATCGTGTCACCCCAAATTGGCGTGGCCCACCCCGAGGACGACGCGGAGCCAGGATGGTGACTTTGGCGGGGGGTGAGGGGGGGGAGGAGCTGGAGCAGCCATGCCAAGGGCCAAGCTCCCGGCGTTGCTGCCTCAGTTTCCCCGGCCGGGGCTGGGGCCCGGTCCCTGCCGCAGGATCAGGCCCCGCTGAGGCCCCGCTGTGTCCCTGGCCAGGCCGGCGGAGGAGCCCATGGAGGCCGAGCCCATGCTGTGACCCGCCGGCCCCTCGCCGCACGGCTGAGATTTTTTCCGTTTCCGAAAAAAGAAAGAAACACGGAGAAGAAACACAGACACACACACACACACACAAATCACATTTAAAAAGGAAAAAAAAAAAAACAACAAAAAAACACATTAAAAAAAAAAAGACAAAAAAAAATACAACCCGAAATGGATGAAACCGGGAGGAAAAACAGTAAAGAGGAAAATATTTTCTTTTTCTATTAAAAGAGAAGAAAAAAACCCACAAAAAAATACCACCCCCCAGTCCTGTTGGACCCCAGCTCCACGCGGTGTTTGCGGTCGTGTCTCTTGTGCAGCATCGGTTCCACCAGCACCCCCGCTCCTCCCACCCCCTCCGTCCGTCTGTCCGTCTGTCCGTTGGGTTTTCCTGTCGCTGCCCCGGGCCCCCCTGGCCCCCCGCTGCGGCTCCTCTCTTTTCTTTTTTTTTCTTTTTTTTTTTTTAAGGGGGTTTTCCTTGTTTTCTCCCCTTTATTTTTTTTCCTGTTGGTTCCCTCCCCGGCTCTGGCGTCCGTCCTCTCCCCGGGGGAAGGCGATGGGAAATACTCGTGCCTTTAATTAAGTCAGTTTTTTTTTTAATGCCTTAATTTCCCTGTGATTTTTTGAGTTTTCTCAATTTTTTAAAAATTTTTTTTTGCCCTTGGCTGTCCCCATTTCGGAGGGGGACACGAGACGCAGGGGACAAGCCCCATCCCTGTCCCTTTGTCACCCTGGGTCGATGGGTGACGGATCCTGGCGCTTTCGTTGGGATAAAACTTTGTCCGTTCTTAGAGGAGAAAAAAAGGAAAAAATGACAAAAAAAAAAAAAGAGGAAAAAAAACCACTTTATTTTCCTGTTACTTCACCAGCTGGAGGGGACTTGGAGTGATTTTAGCTTTAAAAGAGAGAAAAAGAAAAAAAAAAACCACCCACACAAAACAAAGGTATATAATTTTATTACAGATGTATTATTTAATAGTATTTTTTTAATGGGTGGCACCGGCTGCGGGGCCCGGGGTGGAGGGGGAGGACGGGGACAGCGCTTCATGTTTTAAGTTATTCCAGGGGGTTTTGGGGT